CGGAACTCATTCATATCAGTAGTTGTGTCGAGTCGTTCAATGCCTGCCATTTAGTCTTCTCATAGCGCCAATCGGTATCAATTACCAGCGGTTGCTAAGCGAAAACGACGCCATTTCATTGTTTCGCAATGAAGGGAAAAAATCAACTGAGACAGTAGTCCAGATTGACTCAAGTAACGAGTAATTAGTCATGAAAGTACAAATTAGGTTATACCTGAAATCAAGTTCCTTGATTTTGAACTTCACTTCAACTACACCAGTGGTAGCGACTCTTGAATAGAGGATATCCTGTTCCGATGGCCTATAGCCTGCCTCGCTAATCCGAGAGCAAGAATCCAGAAAGCTAAAACAAAAGTGAAGTCTTTACTGGATCAGAAGCAAAATAATCAGTAAAACATCGCGACTCACTATTTGGCTGAGTCCGTTAACTGGTACTCGCTTCGCATTTCAAATGCTTTCTTTACACCAGGATCGGACCTGAAAAATAGGCTATTTCATATTCCATGTAGGCTGTTAAGAATGCAAGGCCAAACGGGGTTCCGGTAGTGTAAGGGATAAGAGCCCGGTACCCGGGAAGCACAAGTACGGGTTCGAGTCCGGTCCGAAACCGAAGCTTCGCCCATCACTCGCCAACCTTGCTCTAGGACCGTGTTGCTATTACAGGCGAGGTGTTTTAGGCTCCGTAAGCTCCCAATAGACTCCTGATTACCTTTTATTCAATGAGTTTTCAAATTAAAGCGGAATCAAGTTAGGGAGACCCACGTCTCTATTCCCGAAGGCCTTACCTGGCGTCAAGTATGGAGTAAGCAACAGCAGTAGAAGAACACTTTACAGAGATTTTTCAAGTCATGTTTGTCTTTGCTAGGGAAGTGGTGTTGTTTCGTTCTTCCGATCCCCATTCCTCAAACTTTCGCATAGGTTTAGAATGTAGTCGTCAAAACTTATTCCCATCCCACACTCTGCGGTTGTTAAGGGAGGGATGGCGTCGCAATGGGAACGTTCTCAACTGACGCCCTGATCTGACTTTTCAAACTCAAACTTTTCCAAAGCATTCTGTCGCAAGAAAAGTATGCGGAAGTCTTCAAGTTGTAGCAGTTTTACTACAATGCTTTTTTGATCTAAGTAAACAGGGGGAAGACGACGACCACGCACATTGCACGGAAGTGCCACTAGTCAGTGGAGACCTGGGGAACAAGCTCATTTGTGCCATCCATCTGAATTTTACTTCTGAGTATGGATCAATGTAGAGGAATTCGAAACCCCTAACTCAGTCTGCTATCACCTCCAGCACCTCGAGTAGTTGCTATTTGAAGTGAGGGAGTCCATCATCTTATTGCATTTAACATCGTCGTCAGTAATAGGCTGAGGAATTTCCCGAATGTAAATAGATCATGGCAAGTTCCCAAAGAAATGAAAGGGATGGATGGCGGAGGAAGAAGTTCCCGAGCTACTCGATTTTTCACTTCTTGAAGGGTTGATCAGGACACGGTGGATATAGAAGACTCTGAAGAAAGTACTTGAAGTTATTGCTTACCAAAGAGATTGAATGGCTTTCGAAACCTCATCAGTTAGCGGCTCCGATTCTTCTCCATTCTCTTGCACCCGCAAAACGATAGCCTTCTCCTTCTGAAACGTTTCCAGTTACTCAATATCATCATGTCAGCTTAGGTAAAAAAGAGTGGTACTAAGCGATCTCGTGCGGTAGTCGCAGTTTCCCAAGAACTCAAGAGACTACGCAAACAGTAGAGCTAAAAGCAAAGGATAGTATATGGACATATTCTTGGGTTATCAGGCAGACACCGAGAATAACATTCCTTTTGTTTAGAGTTTTTGTGAAGTGTCACTATCGCGCTGGTGGCCATCCTTATGCTTGTTTGGCGTCCGGGGATCCAGTCCGTAATCGCCCTAGTCCAACGGCCCTCACGATATCTCGCGACAAGGAAGAATGGAAATTTTAGTGGCCCCCACTTGAGGGAATCGATGGTCATCGTGACAAAGGTGATGCAGGTGGCTCACAAGTTTCTTGGTATGCGGCCTATTTAGGATTGGCCTTGTGGGGCAGCTAAGTGCAAGCCACCCTCGTAGAAGAGTCGTCCTTTCTCTATGCTGGTCCCTTAGAAAAGCGGGGACTGCTTCTTTTACATCTTGTCGACAGTTTATCTCATCAGAACTGAGAGCCCCAGACAAGTCTATACCACTCACCCATTCACTCGATCCCAAGAGAGGCTAGAAAGCTCGGCTGATCTAAGCGGACATTAAGTCTACATAGATCCCCAGACTTGGTGGCCCTGAAAGTTGTCCAGCCTATGTGGGTTCCCAGACTTGCGTCATGAGTCACAATGCACTATTCTCCTCTGTCTAANTAAGTAGTTGGACACATGGAATGATACGGATAACGCAAAAATTGGGTGAGTAGGTCCCCATTAAAACCTAATCCCAACAAAATATTAATTACTAATCTCAGAGCTATGGGCACGAGTTTTTCATATGTTTTTTCATGATGTCCTTCGAGTTTTTAGTAACCATGGGAACGGTTTTTTGTTCATAAAAAAATTCAGAAAGAACTGAATATCCCACGCAATTACTACATTGTAAATGTGTAGTATATCACAATGATATCTATCCGTATAGGAGGGGCAGGTTTGGGTTAAGGGACGTCATTGCAACTGCACATTTCAGAAGATCCGAAAACAGCCTCGCCCAGGTTTTGCTAGCCATCTAGCAGGGACCGAGAGGAGAGGCCTTCTTTTCGGTTAGGAAGTTCTTTCTTTGTTACCAAGAAGGAAAGGATGATTGGCAGTCGAAGCATGAGTATGCATAATCGTAGAGGCCTAGCCTACTCAGAAAGTCATCGCATGGTGCTCAATTTTTCATTTTGAACGGGTTATTCTTTTTGGTGATACACTTCTACACCCATCCTTCAGGCATTCATTGTTGGCTTGGGATTCGAGCCTTCGAGCCGAGGTCGATTGATTGGTACCAGAATCGTCTTGAAGAGCAAAAACACCGGCTTATACATCGAATGGTCACCGGAACCAAGTTTACAGGCCACATACGCCTTTTAAACACCACTACGATTTTGAGTGGAAATCGAATGCAGGGCGAATCCCAGGAAGTGGAGTAACTAACGCCAGGGATTTTATTCTTTGGAAGATTAGCTGAAGAACGAGTTGTTCGGCTGAAAGCTGGTAATTCGCTGTAGCCCTGAAGTTTGGGAGGGTCATTTGATCAATTTCGTTCCAAGCCGTGATTTATCTTTTAGTTCCATCAGGGTGACCCCGATGGGGCCTCTTGACCCATGTCGGCCATGGTGACAGGTATACAACGCTCATTCACACAAAAGGGGCTTGATTTTGTTGAGCATGTAATTAAACTCCATTTGATTTGAAATAATTGCTGAAGCGATTGAGGGGCAGTATCTCAAAGATCAGCAACACTTCAGGGAATAGATGAGAGTATCAATTTATCTTCATCAATTATACACAGCCCTGTATAAAGCCGAATGGATTGCTTCTGAAGTATTTAATCAAGAAATTACGTAACCTTTCAATTAAGACTGCGATTTCTGAAGTTTTAATTTTCAACTTCAAAAGTTAATCCCTAACTATATGGGATACTGCATTGAAAAAACAGGGCTTGATTTTGTTACTTTTCTGGAACGTTTGGATGCTGGTATAAAAAGGCTATCATATGGGCGACCACCTGTAAGTATGACTTTGTCATGAGGAATAGGCTGAGGCGTGTTCGAAGAATTCAGAGCTGTTCATTGAAACTCTCACATTGGGAAGTGCGTTTAACAGAACAGGATATCACTAGGGAATTACTATCAATTGTTATCCTAGTCGTAGGACAGCATTCAAAGAAAGGGAATCACAGTAGACATACTCAGTGATGGTTCATTCAGTTCATCTAGGATCGCAAAAGAGCCTTTCTACTTTAGAAGAAAATCCCGGTATCACCCTCCCGTTTATCATCTATGTCCTCGAACAAGTGCCATTAACGTCTCCATTCAACCCTGTCGCGAGCGAGGAGTCCAGTGAATCGTCCTCGCTCTAGGGACATGGGGTCCCACGTTCCTTTCGTTCAGAGCTTCGTGAGGAAGTCTGACCTCGTTGGTGGCCGTCGTGATATTCGCTTGATGTCCCGTGGGATCTACTCACGGCTATGGTCTATCGGTTATCACAATATCGCATAACGTGTCCGGCCCAACTGATCCTCGGTTCCATGGCGTGTTCAGCGACATCCCTGATTTTCGTTCATTGACAGAGCTCGGAACCCCGAATTCCTTTCTGCACTTGCTTGAATAGGGAAATTCCGAGCATCTTCCTTTCCACAGCGACAATGTCGCTGACAGCATGTTCATTCTGCTTTTGTAGAGTCTAAGTCTTCGAGGCCTACGTCAAAGATGGAAGGACAGCAGTGTCAAAAGATGAGTGCAAAGCCAGATGTTCTAGGTCCTCTTCACTGCTCCCTCGACGCTTTTGAACGCAAATTCTCCTTTTCAAACTCCGGAGCCAGGTCCTTCATCATGTTGGCCTTTTCACTTAAATGGACACAACTGGAACATTCAAAGATATCCGTTCCATTCAGAGTTAAGGGCATCAGAGCATCAGGTATGGCTTTAGTAAATTTGTTCGGGCGGTAAACGATACATTATATTTTACATGAAAAACTCAAAGGAGATGAGTCAGTAATCATAACTCGCAAAGTTTCAGGGAACTCATTACCATGAACAGGTTGAATACTCGCAAACCTTCGTCCCTTCTTGAGCAAACTCAGTCTGGACTGGGTCGCCTATCTCAGAGAGAAGGATTACGGGACTCAAAATCCCGAATAGCTTTTGTGTGGTCTAAGTGAACTGGCATTATTGGGAATCGGCCAGTTCGAAGGGATTCTGCGATTTTTTCTATCCTCTTACTGTATAATCAGACTTTGCAGGAAACACTGAAGTCACTCACTATCATCTGTATTGGGTTGGAGAAGAAGAAGACTGAAACGAAGGAAAAGAAGAGGAAAAAGAACAAGAAAAGGAAGAAGAAGGAGAGAGTGGGGAGAGAGGGGTCAGTTTCTATGAATTGCAATCCTACTTTCCATTACTTAGGTTTCACTTGGACTGATCGACCTACCTCTTTTTCGCTATCCTCCAAAGGAATGTGAAGCACATTATCCATTGCCTAGAAGAAGAATTATTACCAATACTACAAAAACATTACCAAACATTCGATACTACAAAAAATAAACTTCCGAAGGCAGAATGTAGTTGTACCTTGAGAATTGTACACATTGACGAGACAACATTGTTGTATACAATTGCTTTCTTTTCATTAATCTCTTCTTCTGTAAATCCATTGCTGTGTAGAATTCTGCAAATAAACAGTTCAAATTCACATCAGACTGATGGCGAATAGAAGCCTCTCTTAGAGAAAAGAGAAAAAGATAGAACTTTTCCGGTACCGATTAATCTCACATTTGAGATTGGGCCACGCATTCAATTTTCAATCAGAATGACCTTGACGTTTGGATGCGTATTTGTACATCGTCTATACTTCTACGTACCCACGAGTCAAGCCGAAGTACTAGTTAGTGCGTTTATACTCCCAGACGACTTCTAAATGGGTACAGCAGCAACTACTGACTACGCAGAGGGGAGCAAGGATCCTGGGTCGACATGTGAAGATATCGATCCTGGGTTCGATCCTTCACTATATGCTAGTTGCTGTAAGTGCTCCTTCTGAAGCTATTCCACCTCCTCCCTCACTGCCCGTAGTATACCTTAAAATAGCCCTTTCTGTCAATTCGTTTTAGCTATTGAATGAAACTACATTTAGCATCTGAATTTAGTTAATGCAAATTAACAGTTTTACTCAAAATGAGTTAACCTAGGAAAGTACAGCAAGTAACAATGTTTATTTTCCAAGAAAGGAACCTGCAGCTTGCTCCTTCAGTCGGGGACTGATAGCTAAAATGCTCGGAGCCAACCAACCGACAGCTTAGCGTTCTACCCGAAACAGGCTTCAAGCTACATTTCCGTCCAAAATATCACAAAATCGTCCCTCGGTCTGATATTTTTACTTTCCGACATTTTCTATCGTTCTAGATCTCCCGCTACATTTTTGAGAATATCAGCCCCGTTTGGGAGTCTAATATGGACAGCACACTGGCACACTATCGCACACGCAGGGCTCGGGAATTGAACTCTAGACCTGTAGACATTCAGGCCAATCGTACTTACACGGACGGGGTGTATCTCAGAAACTGGATTGATTGATCTTTTTTTCCTTTAACGGACCTTGATTATTTTTATAGAGCGGTGGTGTAGTAGCAAGTGGCGCTCTATCCCGCACGCATGGTCACGGGCTCGAATCTCGGATCGATATCCGCTTGTGCCAACTAAGCACTCCATATCTCTGGGGTAAGTCAATTGGTACCAGACTCGTCTGGGAGGATAAAAGCACCGATTTGTAGCTGGTCATCGCAATTCATTGTATAGGCCACATACGCATTCAGTACACCACTACGATTCTGAATGGAAGTCGAATGCGGGGCGCATCCCTCAGACGGGATTAATGGACGCCTAAGGGCGTTAGCCTTTTACTTTTATAGTTTCTCAATGGTTTTACTCGGTTAAATGATTTTTTTGAACTTCTGATGTATAGACGTATGTAAATGTTGAATTACTCTGCTTCGATGGCTATGGAGACTGGAGATGATGCCGAGTGTATCTGAGCGTGTGATCAAAGGAAATCAACTACATTCTAGTACTATCTACTCAATATAAATGCTAGGAATCGAACTTATACGAAAAGAGAACAATGGCATCAAAAACATACAGTTATTACTGTTAAAACCCATCATGTAAGTAATTAGGCCAGCCAAACCAAGCTAAGTCATAATTGACGAGCTGAAAGTACTAGTCATGTCCTCCGTTACGATGAATCCTTCCAAGAACTACCTAGGGTATGCATTATGGCGTAGCTAATCCCTCCTCAGAATGAAAGTGTCGATGTACCTATTCAGAAGGAATGGCGACGAGAACATAATAAATTACGGTAAAATGTCAACAAAATAAACAAATTGTTTTGAGCTGAATACTGAAACTGCTGACTTACTGCATTTGTTTTAATACTGTAGACTTGCCACATTCACCAGCACCTAAAATTAATAGAACAAATTATTTTTTTCACCTGTTCTTATGCCTTATTTACCAAAATCCCAGAAAATAACTACTTTTTGCGTCTAGTCTATCAAGCGGTCTATCAGACGTTAATCAAGAAATTACGTCAGATCTACTGAAGTAAATCCAGTAACAGTTGCTATATTTGGTAACTTCGGAGGTTGTCAATAGATTATTTATAGGCTTGACTCATTCGTAAAAAGGTATTCAGTCCCCAAAATCCTTTCCTAAGAGGCTACACCCCATGTAGGTAGCCTTCAAGGGAAGGGTTTCAGGGACTGCATCCTCGGGAGGGATACCGAGATCAACGAACCAAGTAACAGTAGTTTGACGATGCTGGATCCTGCTCGTTTATCCTGATTGAGCTGCTTTTCAATGGCTTTGTTCCGAGCAGCCATTTCTTGGTTTTCTTGGCTTTGGCACGATCCCATGGTTGCTGAAAAGGGACATTTTTGAACCAGTGTTTTTGTGCACAGCACGTTCTTTCTCAGCCCTGAGCCTGCGGATTTAGTGAGGAGTTTCAGTATACGTAAAAATATCCTAAATCCAGAAAACCCAAAAGAAGAGCTCGGGAAGTCCTCTATAATCTTTAGATACCAACGAACCGCACACGATGTGGGGAATTTACTCTAGTACAGTTATATCCCTCCTTCCCCTCCCACTCCCTTCCTTCCCCTCCCTGCTTTCCTCCGAGTCTCCGGGTAAGTTATGGCCCGTTCCACATAGATGATCTCAGAAATATGTATCTCGAGATGTCTGACTTTCTTTCAGAAGAATCTTCTGGAACGGGCTTTGCAGATCGAAGTCATCTAAATGTCATCGCAGCGAAAAGCGGCTTTGAAATTAGCTAGTCAGGGTTGGCAGTCCGACAAGAACGCCTACCCAGGCAGTCCCGCCCCTCAGCTCAGACGGATTTATTGACGAGCCAACGTAGTGCGTGGTAAGACTCAAAAAATATAATTAATAGAAAGTGATCGAGGGATGTACTGAAGTATTGGACACATATACTTAATGACGCTTTTTCCCGCTTCCCTCCGAAGCGCAAGAAACAGATGTTGGCTGCTGCTGGCGGTTTTTTCAGGCTCACTCTTCCTCTGCTGCCTATACAGTAATTATGGGAGCATTTCTGAGCCCCAATGCCTTTACTGTGATATCTTGGAATGATCTTTCCAAGTGCTTTGAAAAGTAAAAAATGATTATAAATGTTGAGTACAGCAATTTCCTTCCACGTAATCAACTCTCATGGGCCCTATTATTGCAATCATTAAAGACATAAAACATCGAGGGGTGTGGAATAGTGCATGTTAACGACTCAGAAGTTACCCATTGAAAACAATTGGTACGATAAAGGGAACTGCAGTAAGGGAATCTATACGATATGGGGAAAGGGATGAGGGCCAAGAAGACGATCTGGGACTGTTTTAAGGCCACTGACGGGTTAGTAGTAGCATAAGTCATAGGCAAAAATACTGCCCCACTGAGCCGCTCCTTTTGTTCCGCTTTTCAATTGGATAGGTTTACAGTAATGTCATTAAACGGTAGTTCACATCACATTAGGATTCCCCATTAACTTTACCCATTGAAACCAATCGCGGACTGGTGGGAAAAGGAAGCAGGTGGAGGGTCAAGTAGCGGAATTTCGCCGGGTTTTTCGGGTAATACCATCGAGTATTCAGTATTTTTTCTTCATCGAATTCAGGGAACGATTATATACCACCACACCATTACTTACGAGATATGCATATGTCCTCTCTTCTGACCCCCGCCCTCCTCTACCAATCCCGCCCACCTTTTCCTTTTCCGCCCTTACTTCGAGAGAACCTCACAACTCATATCCGACTTTGAAATCATCAGCTACCAATCTAAAAAGTGAAAAAATTCAGCACCCAAATGACTCCCTAATATTTAGTGTATTACAAACGAAATTTCCTCTTAACCAACCTCCGTAGTGACTCTCAGTTCCTCATTAGGTAAATCGATAATCTGAAAATAAACTGCGAAGTTTATATGTTCGAAGTACACCGCTGAAATGTGGCACTCCCGAATAGACACGGATATTTCGAGCGAAAGAATCGACAGGATTACAGAACAATAGCGAAGATCTTTCCAAACACAGCTTTCCTGAAGAGATATGGCTGTTCGTGTGGGCACAAAGGGCGACAACAAGGATTAATTGTAAGGGAAATGTACTTCTTGGAAACAAAGAGGCTACAAAGTCTCTCAGTGAATGTGGTTACTCATGGATACAGGAATGCCAGAAAATGTTAAGCAAGGAGAGTACTGAAGTACATACAAGTACATAGAAGGACATTATTCCGTGATTTTAAATGAATTTCATAAACTTATGCATTTTAGATTAATCTAGCGCTGTTAACGTATTATGTACAGAATAAAAAACCACAAAAGCACCTGCCTTTAATCGAAATGCTTTCGATTTTTTTCAAATGACACTGCGGTAGTGATGGAGAAACGGTAGAAGTGTAGGCAAAAAATCTATTACGTAAGAGTAGAGGCCTAGAATGAAGTACGAAAAAACCTCCCTGATAATTACTTTCTACTCGCCTCTCTCCCTACCCCTCTCTCACTCCCCCGCTTCCCACCTTCCTCTGCTTCCTTTGCCTCTCAATCCCACAACAGGACGGGGAGGGAGGGAACATGAGTTAAGTGAAAAGAGGGAGCTCAGCAAGGAACCTTAACTCACGGATTTTTCAAAATTTTCACATCGAATTACTTGTCATTATTTTTGGGGCGGAGGTGGTATAGTGGCAAGTGGCGTACCGTCTCACACAGATGGTCACCGGTTCGATCCTGGATCGATATCCACCTGAGCAAGCCAAGCCTTCCATCCCTCCAGGGTCGGTGAATTGCAACCCAACTCGTCTGGGAGGATGAAAGCACTGACATGTAGATTGGCTGGCCACAGCAAGTCGGCGTATAGGCCACTTACGCACTCTTTACGCCACTACGATTCAGAAAGGAAGTCGAGGGCGTGGGCGCATCCCTCAGACGGGATTGATTAACGTCCCAAGACTTTATCCTTCCTTACTGCCTAAGGAACCTGATGCCTCAGCCAATGCATCCAAATTTAAAAAGCTCAAAAGCTCAAAAGAGTGCAGGGTACTGATTTTTGCGGATCTTTCATGGAAGATCGAACTGGACGAGTTGAGATGGCTGCTGGAGTGACTGGTTTGATTTTTGATGGTAAAGTATCTGCTAAAATTCAAAAATCGGTCATGGTTCTCATCGTCTTCAACGGGTTAGGAGGGAGGGAGGAGGGAGGAGGGGGGGGGGGGGGGGG